GTACGACCCGGTGTTGAATCTTTCGATTCTACTCCGGTTAAAAATATTTGCAACAACAATACAAGAGGCACTTGGATATTTCTCATGAAGTACAAATCAGAGACTTATCTAAACTTGAAGCAATTTCTTGAAGTTGTGAAAGTTCAGTATGGGAGGCTTGTGAAGCAGGTAAGGACTGACAATGGATCAGAATTTTTGGGACAAGAAGTGCAGTGCTTGTTTAAGGACAGAGGGATTATACATCAACCAACATGCCCTTACACTCTTCAACAAAATGGAATCGTTGAAAGAAGGCACAAAACCATTCTAGAAATTGCAAGATCTTTGTTGTTTCAAGCCAATCTAGATAAGAAATTCTGGCCATACAGTTTATTGAATGTTGTACATATTCTGAACTCTTTGCCTAGTGATGTTTTGGGTTGGAAGACACCTATGAGTTGCTTCATGACAGACAACCAGACTATGGAAAATTTAAGGTGTTTGGATGCTTGGCTTATGCTTGCAGACTCAATCCTAATAGAAGAAAGTTTGATGATAGGGCACAAGCTTGTGTCTACCTGGGCAATGTGGGTGCAGTCAAGGGTCACAGATTATATGATTTAAAGGAGGGCACTACATTTATTTCAAGGGATGTGAAATTTTATGAGAAGATTTTCCCATTTTGTGACAATTTTCCAGAAGTTGCTCCACAAGTCTGTTTACCAAACTTATTTAACAATGGAGAAGATGAAGACACACATTCTGACATAGACACAGTGACACCAACTCAACCAATGGAACCTGCACCACAAGCTATTGAAGGGAAGAGACTAAGGAAACCACCTGCTTGGCTGCAAGATTATGTTGCTCACACCAATCACTCTGAGCCATCACAGAAGGAGCATGAACTTTTTATGGCAGAAATAGATAAGACAAGCACTGAGCCTCTATACTATGGGCAAGCAACAAAGCATCCTCAATGGGTGCTAGCTATGCAGAAGGAACTAGATGCTTTGGATTGAACCATACATGGAAACTTACCACTCTTCCACCTGGGAAAAGGGCCATTGGATCCAAATGGGTATATAAGATCAAAAGAAACCCTGATGGGTCCATTGACAAGTACAAGGCCCGGTTGGTAGCCAAAGGGTATTTACAAGTTGAAGGAGTGGATTTTAGAGAAAGTTTCTCACCTGTGGCTAAACTAGTCACTGTGAGACTTTTGATTGCTTTGTCTGTCCAACATGGCTGGGCCTTACATCACATAGATATAAATAATGCTTTTCTCCATGGCTTCCTAGATGAGGAAGTTTACATGTCACCTCCTCAAGGATATCACAAAGCCAAGCAAGGGGAAGTGTGTCTCTTACAAATGAGTCTTTATGGTTTGAAACAGGCCTCAAGGCAATGGAACTTAGAATTTTTAGAAAAACTACTTACCTATGGTTTTCATCAATCCACACATGATCACTGTCTTTTTGTGAAAGATTCTCCTCAAGGTTTTTTGGCACTCATTATCTATGTGGATGATGTTCTTATCACAGGATCTTCTAATGATGATATACAAAATCTGAAGGCATACTTAGATAAATTGTTCACCATTAAGGATCTTGGACTTGCCAAATATTTTCTTGGCTTGGAGATTGTACAGGTTAACCAAGGGGTTCATCTCAGTCAAAGAAAATACATTCTTGATTTGGTCAAGGATCTTGGGCTGCAAGATAGTAAAGCTGCTGTTACTCCCTTCCCACAGGGTCTTAATCTCTCTACACATCATGGTAATCCCATGGTTGCTCCTGAACCTTACAGAAGACTTGTGGGAAGGCTGTTGTATTTAAACTTGTCTAGACCTAATGCTTCTTATGCTATTCAGCAGCTCAGCCAGTATATCAAAGCACCTTTGGAAAGTCATTGGTCAGCTGCTCTACACTTAGTTAAATATTTGAAAGGCAGCTGTACTTTAGGACTTTACTTTCCCAAACAGTCTTCTGGCTCCCTTCAAGCTTTCTGCGATGCTGATTGGGGAACATGTGCCATTACAAGGAGGTCCATTACTGGTTTCTGCATTTTTCTTGGTGATGCCTTGATCTCATGGAAAACCAAGAAGCAGAAAACGGTTTCTAAGTCATCCGCTAAAGCCGAGTATAGGGCAATGGCAGCCACTGTTTGTGAGTTGCAGTGGATTGTTGGGTTAGCCAATGACTTGCACTTTCAAGCCTCTCTTCCTATTCCATTGTGGTGTGATAACAAAGTTGCCCTTCATATCACAGCCAATCCAATCTTCCACGAGCGCACCAAGCACTTGGATATTGATTGCCATGTCGTGCGGAACAAGTTTAAAGATGGTTTCATTTTGCCTCATCACATTTCTTCTTCTCTTCAGCCTGCTGACACATTCACCAAGCCACTTGGAGGAGCTGATTTTCGTTTCTTCTTGCTCAAGTTGGGAATGGTGGATCTTAGCCACATTCCCACTTG